CGGCACCTCCGGCAGCGGCATCGCCGGCAGCGGCATCGCCGGCAGCGGCATCCCCGGCAGCGGCATCCCCGGCAGCGGCACCCCCGGCAGCGGCACCCCCGGCAGCGGCACCGCGGCTCCTGCACAAGGAGGAAGGGAGATCAGAGCCTGCAGGGGAGGCTGGAGAGAAGGGGCGGCCCGGCTGTGCTTGGGGATAGCCGGGATAGGAGGGACGCTGGCCCTGTGCCCTCCGGAGGTGCCGGGCGCTTCCAGCGCCTCTCCTACGCTTCCACACTACAGTCCAGCTCGGGCTTCTACATTTCAATGTTGTAAAAAAGCGCTCCAAATGATGGGAAATTCCTGTTATGCCCTGTTTTACGGCGTGCAGTGACGCTGTGAAGCAAACAATAACTCGCGTGTTCCTCGTTAGCAGCTGAAGCTCTGATTGAAATGTTAATAGCTCATCAGGCCTTGGCAAGAACACGGATAATATTTAACTTAGCGATACTGCAGAAACCCTACAGAGCTAGAATTAGGAAATAATTTGCAAGGCAATGGGTTAGAAGGTTTTAATCATTTGGATATTTCTTAAGGTTAGTGGTGGTGGCATATTCCTTTTCTCCACTAAATTAATTTCTCTTTCTATCCTCATCTCTTGCGCTGCTGACCAAGTGAAAAGTTTTTCCGAATGTTTTAATTTGTCTTCTTTCTAATAGTGGGTGATTGCTCTCCTCACTGGTGCAAAAAAAGAAAAAAAAAAGAATCTCTTCACCCTTTTTGAAAGATTTTAATGCCCACAAACGGTGGTGGCAGTTCCAGTTTGTTACATCAGCCTTGGGCTTCTTGCTCAAGAACCCTTGTAGCCATTAATGAGATTTTACCTGCACAAAGTTTCAGTGAAGGTGAAGGCTGATTTATTTTCTCGCTATTTTTTCTCAAAAGTAACAATTCTATGCCCTCAGAACTGCAGAGAAGTACCCGATCATCATTTAAATTAGAATCTGCACTGGAAAAACTTCAAATTTTCCTTTTGCAGGACACTTATTTTTCACCACTTCCATTTCTACCGCCAGTTTTGTGGTCTGAGAGCATCAGTGGTATGACAGGATATTCACTTGCTCCCTTGTCTGAGCCACAAAAAGCATTTCTTGCTTGATTTTCTTGCTACTTCAGATGTTTTGACAGATTTACAGTTAAACATTATTATTTTTAATTACTCTTTTGTTTAGGCTTTAATTCTCCCATCCACCTAGTTTGTAATAATCTTACTGCTGCAACAGCTGTACATATTTTTACCTTAGTAAACTTAATGCAACTTTTCCAGTTTGTTTTCATAGATTTTCATTTGGGAGGGATTTTTTTTTTAATAAATCTGACCTCAAAGAGAACACTGAGCTCAAGCTTCTGAAAACCTGTGGTGCAAAAGCCTTTTCTTTCAGTCCAGTAGATAAAATTAAACGTGACTTCTGTATAAAAGGTTGAAAATTAAAATACTAATCAGTTTGGGTTTATTTGCAACAATTTATTGTGGAGATTTTTTGGTTAAATATGCTATACTTCAGGGACTCCACTGTACTTTAGTCAAAGCTAAACTAGGAGAGAAATTGGTTCTGAGCAATGCAGACACGTTGAAGAAATGCTTAAAGTCAAGTAAGGAATTGTGAGCTCTTCATTTTCCTCCCCTTTGGGATATTGAGCTACTACAGGAACTTGTAAAGATCTTCCTATTTAGGTCATTTTCTTTCATTTTATAAAGCTGTTCTTTTCTCTTGTGACTTGAAGGTTTTATACAAATGTAAGGCTGTTTCACAGAATCCATTCTGCCTGAGAGGCCATTCCTAATATAATTATCTAATAATAAGCATATGCCATTGCTTTTCCTATAATAATGCTTCTTTGCTGAATTATCTAATCTTAAAAGCATCTCCAGTGTCCAACATCTAATGCCTTTCTCTTTATAGCCTGTGAAAATAAGAGATGATAGAATTACAAGAATATTCTTTCTTCTCTATTTTTTAGATTATTTTTTCATTTATAGCCTTGCCACAAACCATGCACCTTTTACCCACACATTTATCCAAAAGTCTGTCCACAAACCAAATTTCATGTATTTTCCTGAAGCGAATTTTGTTCTTTACTTAGCAACAATAGGATTTATTCCCATATATCCTTTTCATAGGGATTTTCTACACACACATGGTGTTTCAGTAATTGCTGCAGTGCTTTTACCATTGTTTTTTTTCCTGTGGTGTCTTGAATTCTTAAAAGCCTTGTAAAGATTTAGATTTTTCTGTCCTATTTCAGGTGATTGCTATTGATGGAAGATGAACTGCAGCAAGGTGAAGTCTGTGGTTTGATCTGAAGCCTTTGAGCTTTGTTATTCTAATCTCTTCTGGCATGGAGTACTGCAGCCATGAGCAGGTTAAAAAAAGGAAAAAGAAAAAGCCTTGTGACCTTTCTTTGGAAGTGGAGAGTGTCACTGAACCAGGAAAGGCAGCATCTGTGGGGTATGAAATGGTATCAGAGGGTATGAGATGGTTAGAAATAGTAAAATAATAAATTGGCAGATGCATAGGCATTTTATTTGTTGCACGATAAGAGTGGGAGAGAGTCAGGGAACGTGGTTGCCACAAGTCCGTGATAATAATAGTTTAAAAAAATAAAAATATTACCTATGGATTTGGGGGAAAGATCTTTATTTCTGAGCTTAGGATACTTTCTATGCAAGTCCAGCTTCTAACATCTTCAGCCAAGAGTCATGAAAGCTATGCAGAAAGACTTCTCGTTTCAATTTCTCTTCAGCTTTTACCACTGTGAGAATTATGCATCTTTAATTTCTTTGCAGAACTTCCCTTAAAAACAGCTCCTCAATATTAGGATTACTGAAGTGTTACCTGGGGCTGTGTGGGGAGTGGGACTAGAAGAGATCTGAAGGCTGCCCAGCCTTGGAGTTTCCTCAACTGCACAGTGCAAGAGAGAATTTATTTGAGACATGAGTTTGGTTTGAGTCATTTAGTGTTACCTCAGGGCTTGGCTTTCAAGAAGGCATTTACAGACAAAGTGCTGGTTCTGGGGGCTCTGGGGAAGAGCTGGAGTTTGCATTTCTGAGTTTTATTACCCACATGTTTCAGTTGCCCCTAAGAACTTTGGCTAATTGCGTCGTATTGTTGATTATTAAAGCCAAAGAAAAACCCCAAGGAAGACAATGTACTGGAGTGCCTCACAGAAACTGTGCCTTCTGCTGCTGAAACAGAAAAATCAGTTGGATGTACAAGAAAGAAATACCTCCATGGAGATACAGATGGAAGTGCTTTGTACAGAGCCTCATCTGTCCCATTCCATGGATTTCAAGTGTATAGGACTTGTAGCAAGTTGGATATTGGAAGAATTACATAAATTAGGTGAGCAGAGTGCATCTGCTGGAGAGCAGCAGCTTATCCCATTTTCCAGGGCGTGTTATCTGGCTGCCAGGGGCAGAAGGGACTCCACTCTCACTCTCCCAGCTCACTGATGTGATGGAGCCCGTGTTCAGGTGACACAGGATCACTTGTTCTGAGATCTGAGCCCAGCAATCGCAGACTCCTCACACCACCCCACTAACTCTCCTCACTGCTGCCATTGGCCTTCCAGCAGCTTGCAGGTTGGAGTGAGGGGTTCAGTAGGGGGTTTTGCCACCACAGCCAGCACTGGGGAGAATAGAGGTGCTGCTGTGGTGCTTCCCTCTTGCTGTGTGCTACTTCCTTTCTATTTTCTCAGGTGCCACCTCCTCAGGCTCATCGCAGAGGCTCTGTTTGGAGCAGAGGAAGAACTGGACGTGGCTGCTGAGCTGTATCTCCCTGAATATCTGGATACAGCTGCCACACCAGTAGGTGTGACCTCAGGAAGGCATAAAATCCAGAGCTGAGAGACGAGGAGTGGAGCTTTTCACAGCTTCATGAACAGGTTAAATGATAGCAGCGTAAGCGGGGCTGCTCCTGCTCTTACTTGGAGGAGACACTGTAGGATTCCAGTGTGTGCATGGTTTTCATTAGGCTCTGTAACTCTTAATAGTTGATTTTTATGAAAGCACCATGAGTTATTTATTAAGCAGTTCGTATTTGTGGACTATGGGATTTTTACTTGTGCTTTAATGTTAAGATTAAAAAATAACCAATTTGGCAACTATGCTTTTATAGAATTTTCATTATCAAATGATGCTGTGTGTAATTGTGAGTTATTTTGTGACTGAATCACAGATTACCTCACAGTAGAGCTCAGAGCTGGGGGCTATGCTGTCATTGCACCCCCTGCATGTCTTGCTCATGCTTTTTAACCTTGAAAAACTTGCCAAATATATCAAGTGTGTGAAATGTTAGATTTTGTAGGAAACAAAGACAGGGAATGAGGTGAAATAAGTAGTACACAAAATTGTGATTTCAAATTAGTTTGGCAATGGAAGGCAGACAGTGAGACATTACCACTGCACAAAGCTTTTTGCCCTGGCTTTTTCTGTCCAGTCTTAGCTCTACCTTCTGGAGAGGAGTGAAAGCCACACGTGCTCTCAGCTGAAGGGGTCAGAAGTCAGCCATGAGCTTTTGTTTTCGATAGCCTGCAGGGAGAAAGGCTGACTGGACAGCCTTGGGGATAAACCGCTGTCTCCAAAATGAAGGAGCTTTGGGGATCTTGGCAGACCAGGATTATCACTCTGTTTGTTGGTGGTTAGGGCTCTTGGGGTTTTATTGTCTTAGGGCTGGGGTTTTTGGGGGTGGTGACTGTGATGTTTTCTTAGCCAGTTCCTGGTACTGGCCCCTCAGAGCTCAGTGTCTGTTCGCAAGTGTTTGCCCTGATGATTCTCTGCGAGGTTTTCTGGAGTTCTGCTGGTTTGCATATGCCCACGGTGGGCTGGCAAACGGGGCTCTGAGGCTCACGGGGTGAAGCTAATCCGTGCTCCTGCACTCTTGGCAGAATTCCTGGCAGGACTTTAGGCCATGAGGGGAGTTGGATGGAGGACAAGGGTCGGGGGGAGGTTGGAAATTGCATTTAAGGCTCTGCTGGGAGTCTTAATACTGGTAATGTGTTCACTCTGATAAAGTAGGAAAAAGTGCTTGCTGGGAAAGCTGACAAGAGACAGCCAGATCCATTTTGGAGCTAGGGTTAGAAGGCTCCTTCCTGACACTTTGCTTGGCTGGACAGCCTTAGTTTACTATTTTAGAGCAAACAACAAAGCAGCTCAGCATTGTGGTGCCAGAGTAGCAATAGAGCACTTCCTGTACTTGAAATTCAATTTTACATTCCCTGCAGAAATACACATGGTTTTCACTGAAATAAATAGAGTTTAGCATGTTTGGTATTAATATTACTGGCTCCTTGCTGTTTGTATGCGTTTTTGTGCCAGAATACTTTTATATGAGAAAAATATGTCCTGAAAGCTTTTGTAGGGATGAAACATCATTCAGTTTACTTGGAAAATGCCTCCAGAAGGTCTCAAGTGGTGCTGTGTATTAATCTATAATAGGATGGAGTGATTCAAACTGACCTTCACAAAGTGTTTAGCTGAGTGAACACTTTCTGTGGTAGGGTTTTCATTTGTAAATCCAGGGTGCCAGAGGGAATAATGGATGGGAAAAAGAAGTACTTCCAGAGTAGCAAACTCTGAAGCTGAACCGACATGAAGGAATGAGATAAGGGTTGAGCAAAAGGTGCAAATGAATTAAGTGGGTTTTTCTGCCAGGCCTTCACTGTTCACCACAAAATACATGAGTGAGGAGGTCTGGCACTAAGAAGTCACAACAGGGAGCTTGGAAAGAGAAGGTGACAGTTTGTGACAGGCTGGGTGGCGTTTGGGTTGGTTAGGAGCAAGTGACTGGAGATACACAGGGCAAGGGTTATTTTTTTTCAGGTGCATATTGAGTGAAGTGTAAAGTTGATGGCACACAGCCACAAGATAATCACCAACATCTCAATTGCAGGTCTGCATCTCTGGGTGTGCACAGGCATAGAGAGCTGGCAGATAAAAGGGCTGAGAGATTTGTTATCAAGGCCCACTCGAGCACTTGCTGCTCCTCAGGGCTCGGCCAGTCCCTTGCATAAGGCTCTGTGAGTCTAACGCCAGTGCTGCCAGTACAAAGGACACTGGGGCTCTAAGGGTGACAGCAGATCCCAGAGCAAGCTGCCTGGGCTGCTGAGGAGGCAGGCTGGGTGGCAGAGCACCAGGAGGACTGCAAACTGAAGTACAGCTCTGAGGCATCAATATCAAAGGCAGTAGCAGCTCACTTCGCCTTCAAACCCCCACTTTGTGCAGAAGCAGCTGTGTGATATCGTGCTAGTCGCTGACTGCATCCTATGGATCCAGATCGTTCCAATCAGCAGTAACTGAGCCCAGTACAGTTCATTTGTTCCATTCCCCTATGTGGGCACACCCTGGAACAGAAGCAACTCTTTGATTTTCAAATCAGCAGCTCTCTTATGAGATTTTATATACAGGACACTTTCAGAATTTCTCATATGCTGTTCCTCTTATACTTTTTCCATGTCAGGGAAATTTTGTTTTAACATGCTTTCACCTTTTCTGCTCATAATGTGGTATATCATAACAAATCTTGTTTATTTCTGAAATATTTCTTGCCTGCCATTATTTCTGAGGATTTTTTCCCCATTTTTATCCTTTGAATCAAAGCAATTTATGTTGGTCTTTACTGCAAACCATCACTGTTATTTTTGTTAAGGTTTGGTAGACTTTTTTATTGCTTTGTGGAGGTGGGCATTTCAATTACGTAGTTTTAGGATTAGCCAAAATGACAGAGAAATTTGGAAGCAACAAGGCCTGTTTGGATCCACATCAGCCTAATAAAAAAATCTGTAGAAATACCATGTGCCTCATTTGTAGGAAAAAGTACTGAATTTAATTTCCCCTGTAGCTGAACGGTCACCCTCAAGCTGTCCACCCCTATGCATATACACATACATATATATATATAAAATCCTCATGGGGGCACTCTTGGTTTGAGCACAATGTAGAGGAGGTGCTGCTTCATCTTGATTTTCCTTTGTAGTAGCCTGACAAAAAAAGCTTAAGGAGCTCCTAGGGTGTCTTTCAAGTCACAGTTAAAAATAAGCTAAAATAAGTGTTACATAAGGCAAAGGAGCTTCAATTCTGTAATTCTGGTATAAAGCAAATCTAGTTATATAATACCTACTGATAGAATTTTGACTTTCACTTAAAATAGGGTCATAGTAGGAAAGGTCATTATTTAGAAATTTGGGGGTTAGTTGACTTGCCTGTCTCATTGCTTTTCGTATTTCTTTTGCAACCATTACTTTTTTGGCGTGTAAAAGGAGGGGGGAAATAAACTGTCACTGTATGTGATGTTGTGGCTTTCCTGCTGTTACAGGTTATGAAGTACAACCCATGGTGATGGGGAAATCCGAGATACCTGTGGCAAGAATTCATCTGGTAATTTGGAGGAAGCTTACTGCTTGTGTCCATTTCCCAAGCCGACAATAATTGAACTGAAATTATTTCTACATTTGTATACTGTTAACCTTCCTGACCAGTTGGAGTTGTCTTTGTTATCATTCTTAACAAGCACAATTTTTACTTGTTCAAAGAGCAGACATATAAATACATTATCTATCATAACAACGCCATCACAAAGCAGCCCAAGAAAAATTAGCAGGTATACATTAAACACCTATTTTTGCTGTTTTTGTCTTGCTGCAAGAACATTTAGTAGGTAAAACTGAACTGTGTCCTGGGCTCTTGAGTGAGGAATTCCTTGGAAGAAACAAGCCTTGTATTCTTCACAAGAAGGATTAGCAGTTCCTAAATGCCTGACTAATTTCTTCAACACAGTCCATGTCGCTGGTACAAAGGGAACTGCAGAACTCCCAATACTTCACTGTTCTCTGCTTCCACTTAACTGCATCAGGACAGAAGCAGTAAAAGAAAGAACTAGACAGGGCAGAAGATCTGAGCTCGGAGCAGTTATGAAGTCAAGTCAATCTGAATCATTTGCAATGTGTATTTCCACTCAGTGTGGAAGGATCAGCTCTGAAATGTTAAAAAAAGCCTCACGAGCAGGAAGCATGTCAGTCGTCTTTTTAATGGAAGTGTGGATGAACTGGGGGAAGTCTCCAGGGAGCAGAGGGGGGAAATTTGAGTCAGAGGTTACTCGTGGGCTATTTCCACTAGGAGAACACCAGCCCTCTGCAGCAGCCTCTGCTTTCCTGCCAGCAGCTCCGTGTCCTCTGTGCTCCACAGGCACCCAGGCTGGGAGCTGCAGCTCCAGCAGGGATCTCAGCAGAGGCAGGAGACCTCTCCATGCTTCGGGATAATGATTATTATTACTGCCAACACCCCTTTTGGGTGACTGTCAGCCTCAACTGTAGCACAAAATTGGCTGTCCTCGTTCGTTAATTAATTTTGTTTGTAAAATACTCCTCTGAGGGAGAGGGAATAAATGTTACCATTAAGGACTTAAATAGGCTTTCAGATGAAATACCATAACCAGCTGCAGGTCAGCAACAAACCATTCTTTGTTAAGGTGTTTTCCTTTTGCAGAGATACAGCCTGAATTAGCTGAATAATCTCATCCTTTTAAGGCAGACTGTTAAGGTGGACTAATTCTAGGATCAAAAATGTCCTGTAGATCATAATAGCAGGAAGAAATAAATGTCAGACTATTCATTATTTTAGTAGAACATTTTTTGTGTGAAAAGGACTACAATCTGCTACTTTGTGTATTAAATAAATCTATTATATTTTAATATTTTATATATTTTTGACCTGTTACTAATATTTAAAAATAATAACCTTAAGAAAAAATAAACCTTTTCCAGCCCACACGAGAATTATCAAGCACTGAAATCAAGACTGATACTCACAGTGATCAGAATTCTAATCTTACCCAGGTTATTTTAAAAATAAAATAAAATCACAGACTCCTTTAGATTGGGAAAGATCTTTAAGTCCAGCTGTTCCCCCAGCCCTTCCAAGACCACCACTAAACCACGTCCTCAAGTGCCACATCTGCATGGCTTAAATCCCTCCAGGGACTGGGACTCCACCACTCTCCTGGGCACCCTGATTCTGTAGTAATTTTAAGTAATTGTTTATTAATTTAAGCATTAAAATCGGGAGTGTGTTAAATTGCTTTGTAAGAGATTAAAAAAAAAAAAAATCAGACAATTGACATCTAAGTATAACTCTGAAATTAGAAGGAAATTTAGTATTTTGTTGAACCATCCTTTGACCTTTCAGCCACTGCACCCTGACCCTTAATTCAGAAAATGTTTTGCAGAATGGAATGTAAGAATCATGAAGAATTTCAATATTGTATGACTACCTTAGGAAAAAATAGAGCATTTTGTAGGTACATAAAGCTGGCAAGAAGAATCCACCAAGGGAGATATTTAGGCCCTGGAAAGGGATAGGCAGGAAATAGGTGTTGATGACAGTGGTTTGGAAAAGCCTAAATAAAATGACCAAAGGTATCACTGTAGGTTTTAGCAGAAGAAAAATTACCTGTTGTAAAGAAAAATACTTCAATAAGAAAATTAAAAGGGTGGTAGACTTCGGGGGAAAAAAATGGCATATGAGATGAACATAGGCAAGAATCCCAATTTTGTGTTCATCTCCAATTAAATTCACAATTCAGCTGGTGTCACAGTGAATTGGACCCTCTGGACTTAGTGCAAACAAAAGGGTCCTGCAGTCAACAGCGGTGTCTGAAAGAGCTGTGAGTGAGTAGGTTTTTCCCACTTTTAGGTGACTCAGGAATCCACCCTCTTTCAAGAAGCTTCATCAGGAATGCTATCTAATAAGTATAATTACGATTTTTTAAATCCGGCATTAATTACTTTTTCATGACCTATAGTTTTTTTCTGTTAATTAGTTCATCTATTTTAATATCAGTCTTTTTAGTGTAATGCTGTAAATAACTTGTGTTTTCTTGTTCTATTAGCTTGTCAAATGATTTTCCCAAAGGCAAAATAGGGATATCTTAAAAGCTTTTAATTGTTTCACTGATATTTCTCTCCATATATATGGAGAGAAAAGCTGTTTTCAGACGTAAATAATTTGACATATAACCAGGGGTAAAACCAAACATAAAGGTGAATAGGATAATCCTGAGGGAGGGAGCTCAGAAGAGAAAAGGTTTGAACAGAAATGATTCTACTACAGCTGCATTCTTAGTGCTGTATATTTCTTTTAATAACTAAGTCAACGTACACAAATGGAAATCTCAGGGACAGAAATGTTCTCCACCCAGTTCATTATTTCCTGACCTTGGGAAGATCCACCTCCAGCTGCTGAGGAATGCCTCTCTAATGAGACATGCTAACATCAAAGGTGATGCAGGGCTCTGGAACTTAATAACCTCTCCTGAGCTCAGAAATCTGGCTCTCATGGCAGCACTGCCCAAGCTACTGGGGTCAAGTGACATCGAGACTGCAAAACGTGGGTGAAAATAGGGAGGCACCAGCAAGAGTCCATGGCAAAGGACAGGGAGCCAATTACCGGGAACGTGGTGTTGTGTGAAGGAAAGCAAGCTTGATGTCATATCCGAGATGGCCTAGTGCTATTGATACAACTCCAGTGTCTTGCTTTCCTAAGATCTGCAGATCCCCAGGCAGCTGTGGCTGCTAACAATGAGCAGCCTGGGCTGCACTTTGCTGCTCATCAGAGGAAATGCAGAGCGTGCTCTGTAATTCATCTTTCTGACCCAGTTCAGAAGAAACGCTGCTCGTACTGGCAGGATCTTGTCTGACAGAAGGCATGTCAGCAAGAGCTTTTGCTCAGTCTCACTCCACTGGCCACAACAAAAGTGAGTACCAAAGCCATTGTCCTGGTAACTGCTGTTCTTGCTGTAATACTTAATGCTTGCTTTTAGGAAAACAGCAACCTATTTCCTTTATATGCAGCAAATAGCAAAGGAAAATTCACAAACAGCGTTATCAGACAGCCTTGTAGGTCACAGATGAGAGCTGGAAACGGATAAATGTTTTATTGGCTCAACAGGAAAAAGAGCTGAATTGTAATGCTTAGTTCAAATGAATTTTCTTTGAAAGGGTGTATTTCTCTGATACACTGTTAAGAGTCTAAAACCTATGAAAAATCTCAGGAACAGCTATTAAATTTAAAAGTCAAGATAAATACTTGGTTTATTTCTGATCACATCACTTGGCCTGCCACAGTAACATTCTTCCTGCCAGTCCAACTGATTGAAGAGTAACAAAAAGCTGTGGGCTCCTCCCTCCTCAGATGAATCCCAGCATTAAATGTGACACTTTAACCAAGTGTTTCACCTTTTAAATACTGTAGTCACCTTTTAAATCCATTTCACCTTTTAAATCCATGTAGTCCTCCAAGGAGAGTGTGGATATGTTAGGCAGGCATGGCTAGAAATGGTCAATAGCTGTTCTTGCAATGAACATTGTGCCTGACAGGAAATTCTGCTGCATTTGACACTGGTACCTATACAGGGTATTCTTTGTTTGCTGTCTCTGTGCCAATTTCTTGCTATTTGCTACAATTGGACACAAACTGTCTGGGATCTGTAAAAAATTTTAAATGGACACCACCAACTTTGCCCAGGCCCCTACTGTTTTCTTCTTAATTTTTCACTCAAAATACCCTCATTTTGAGGTTACTTACAATTTTCTCAGGAAGTTCCCTTAAAGTTGATGGGGAATTTTGGTCACATCAGAGCAGACGCTGTAGCACAGAAGAAATCTTCAAGAACTGCTGTGGAATTTTCAGTTCTTTATTAATGTTAGAGAGGGATTTTCCCTTCTTTCCACTCCTGTGAGATAAAAAGTAACTTTTAGTCTGCTGTATTTGTGGCACCTTTAGGAATTCATAGCCATACTTAAGAAGGCACAGCCCCTCAGTGCCCTTACTCTTTATTGCCCCATCTATTCCTATAGTCTTGGTTTGATAGGGAAATGGGATTCTCCAGGAGCAAATAGGACAAAGAAGGTGGCTGTCCTTGTCACTGGCTTGCAGTTCTCACTAAACACTGACTTATCCAGAACATTCCAGTTTTGGCTGTGGTTTCATAGCCCTGTATCCATACTTGATCCCTGTTTTTCCCGTGTTCTCAAGTCCCATCAGGCAAAGGGCGTTAACCCAGCAGTGCTGACTGGGAGGCAGAGCCGGCGGCGAGAGCAGCGTCACCTCTTTCCTTTGCTGCTGTGTGAGAGGAAGAGAAAACCACCGAGCCTTGCATCAGCTAAAAAGGGCAGGTTGGTTGTCATCTACTCCCCAAACTGTCCCCTCCCTTGGCTCACTGCAGGCAGGGCTGACCAGAAAGGTTTGGACAAACCCTGGCAAGGTAAGTGGGGCTGTACATGGTCACACTTTCCTGCTGCCTGTGGATTCAAGGCATCAGGGTTTTCTAGATATTATTTTTCAATTTTTATTTTTGCAATAGCAAAAGTTGCTAAATAGTTGCAAAAATTGCTAATAGTAGGTACAGGAAGTGATGCCACGAGCAGAAAAAGTTCACTGAGATGAAGTAACTGTAATTTGTAGATCTGGGATCTAGGCACAGATCATTCGTAATTTCCATGTCTTCTGTGTAGAGTCTTTGTGGTACATGGGGGATGCAAAAGAAAGAAGCTTTACCTGTACAAGGTCAAATACTGCACTTCAAACAACAAGGTAATCTCTAAATCTGTTTTGTCAGAAGCAGTAGGCCACACTCTGTATTAAATACTGATAGTGCTGCTCCAGAAAATGAGATGTGAAAGAACAAGATTGTTCTCTATGCATTTTTTCAAATTGTAAAAAAGATACTTTTTTTAGTTCCAAAATATTCCCGAATGTACAGTCTTAGAATAGTTAAAACTATTAAAACTTCAGTTTTATAATGTTTCTTCTCTGTTTCTGGGTCAGCTAACTTCAGTTGTCAACTTCCTCAGCTTCTGGGATTTACCACTGTAAGTGCAGTCATCAAACTTTCTTTTTGGAGCCTTCCCAGGTAAAAAGCGCTAAAACAATGCAGCCAAATATATCACAAGTTGCAGGTTACAGTAATGCAGCCCTGTAGAGCTGTGACTTCTAAGTATTTCCTAGAACAATACTCATGGGACTCCCGACAGCTATGCTGAAAATGAAACCCTTCCGTATTCAGTTCGGGATCAGAGAAGTAACCCGAAAGACAAACATTTTAATTCATTTTAAGGGTTGTCTGTCAAACAAGGGCTCAGCAATCAAAGGCTGACAGCTTCCTGTCCTAGGGCAAGTTGTCTCACCTCGCTGAGGTGGCTGCAGTCCAGGTTCTTCTGGCTCTGACTCCACTGCAAACATCTGCCCTGGCAGCGGTTCATCCTGGTGCGTGTCTGTGTGTACCTGAAAAGGAGGGAAATATTCTCACACTTGGTGGGACAAAGTGGCAGCTAATTAGAAGAAGCTTCTTTTTAGGTTTTCAGGGCTCTTACTCTGGGGAAAAAAAAAAAGGAAACAAAACCCAACCCAAACAAAAACTGAAAACAAAACTCCTCTGACTGCATCTGGATACCTTTTCTGAAATTTTATTTTGTACTAATCTCCAGTTGAAATAAGAAACTGTAAATCATCTTGAGATAAAACAGCTGACAGTGCATTTCATATCTAAAACATAGCAGTCTTCCTGCAGGAACGGTGATCAACAGCCATGCTGAGCACACAGGCCAACTGCATGATGTGGATGGAAGCAAAAACATCTAAAACCATTTAATTCAATTTTTAATGCTAGGGAATCTCAGTATAAAATGGTTTCTGTGAGCCAGCTGCTGTTACTACTACATGGGCTATCAACTTCTACTGGCTGGGCTCTAATTCCTAGAAATTGCTTTATGCCAAAGTCATTACTGCCTAATTAGAGCCCGCAAGAAACAAGGGGATGAGCCGGGGAAGTTCCATGGCTCTGTGGGCACAATCGCATGTTTACAGACTGCTGCCAGATGCAGGGAGCGGAGCGGTTGGTTGGTCAGGCTTGTACAAAAATGCTTTTGTGGCTGCCTTTAAGGGCTGGGAATTTATTGGCAGTTGTTTCACCCATGGATCACCAGGTTCTTACTCAGAACCAAGGCTGCAGAGTTTTCCTTTGCCCTTTCTTATTTCTTTTGTTTCACAGGAGGGCTGAGTTCACTCTAGAGATCTGGTTTGGGAGGGAAAACCATGATTTTTTGCTGAAATAATAAAACTGTGAGAATCAAAGTCATTTAACTATGCAACATCGTCTAAATCAAAAAAATAAATCCTTAGAATGCAAAAGACAGACTAATATTACAAAGTCCATAATTAATTTTTCTAATCTGTTACTTAGGTATTCTTCATGGGAAACAAGTCACAATTGGAATTGTGTTTTTCCCCAATCTTGGACATTAGGAAAAATGAGTATCCACTATTTGGGTTAAGAGAAACCTTATCTGTTTTACTTTTACTTGATTTTTTTTTCCAAAAGCACTTAATTTCAGTCACTTCTATTGCAATGTTTTGTGGGATTTTTTTCTTAATTGAGTGTGCAAAACTAATGGTATTTGAAAAAAATGCTGGCACAATTTAATTTATAACACACAGAAGAGAAGCTGGATTTAGTCAGAGATTTTTTAAAATGCTTTGTCAGTGAACCACATAATGTATTAAGCAGATATATCCATGCATATTAATGCAGGATTGAATACTGGAAGCACAAGTAGCAGAAGGCGCAGAGAAGGGACAATGGATCAGGTCAGCACACTGCTTGTCATCCTCTGACTTCCCACAAAACCCTTCCAGAAAATTGGATTTTACTTTAATATGGGTGTGTCTGGATCCCACCTTCTGAGGAGAAAACCTGTCCTGCTTCTAGATTCCACTTCCCGAGGGGAAAACCTGCCCTGCTTCTGGATTTCACCTCCTGAGGGTACGAGTTTTCCCCATCACAGGCACCTTTATTCTCAAAAAAAGGAAAACGGAAGAACATCTCAGTCCTGCACTGAGGTTTCTCCCTCATGGGCACCTTTATTCCCCGAAGGAGAATGAAAGAGCATCTTTTCCTACCACACTCTTCCCCTCACGGATACTTTTACTCCCTAAGAGGGGAATGGAAAGTCATCTCTCTCCCACACCGAGCTTTTCCCTCACGGGTGTCTTTATACCTCAAGAGGGGAATGGAAGAGCGTCTCCTTCCCACCCTTCTCTCCTCATGGGCGTCTTTATTCCATATGAGGGGAATGGAAGAGCATCGCCCTCCCTCCCGCGCCAAGTTTTCACCTTTATTCGCCCAAGGGAAATGGAAGAGCTTCTCCCTTCCTCCTTTCTCTCCCTTCCGTGCTTTTTTCCTCACGGGCACCTTTATTCTCCTAAAGGAAATGGAGAATATCCCTCCCGTGCCGAGTTTTTCCCTCACCCCCATCTTTATTCCCTCAGGTGAGAATGGAAGAGCATTTCCCTCCCTCACACGCACCTTTATTCTTCAAAGGGGAAAGGAAGAGCATCTCCCTCCCGCGCTTTTTCCTTCCCTCACGGCACCCGCAAAGGGGAGCGGGAGAGTTTCTCTCTCCTCCCTCACGTGCTTTTCCCTTTACGGGCACATTTATTCTCCTAAGGGAAATGAAGAATATCCTCCTGCCACGAGTTTTCCCCTCACGGGCACTTTAACACTTTATTCCCTAGGAGAGGAGTGGAAGAGCATCTGCCTCCCTCACACGCTTTTCCCCTCACGGGAAAGGACGGGCATCTCGTTCCCGCCCTTTTCCCCTCACGGCACCTTCACTGAGCAAGAAGTGATTGGAAGAGCCTCTCCCTCCCTCACGTGCTTTTCCCCTCATGGGCACATTTATTCTTCTGGGTTCTTCTGAGTTTTCCCCTCGCGGGCACCTTTGTTCCTCAAAAAAGAATGAAAGAGCACCTTTCCCTCCCACACTTTTTCCCTCACGGGCATCTTTATTCTCTGAAGGGAAATGGAGAATATCCCTCCCGCGCTGAGTTTTCCCCTCACGGGCATCTTTATTCCACAAGAGGGGAACGGAAGAGCATCTCCCTCTCGAGGACCTCTATACCCCCAAAAGGGGGATTGGAAGAGCATTATCATCGCTCAGGGGCACCTTTATTCCCGGCGCGGGGAAGGGACGAGGCTCTCTCCCCCTCACACCGAAGGCTGAGCGGTGCCCGCAGCCGCATCGCGCGCGCGCGCGCGCCGGGCGCGAGTCCTGCAGCGGTTTG